CTTCTGCACAGCATGTGGCCAGGCTATGCCATGTGATGCTACCTCTCCCCCAACCTGTGGCCTCCCTCCCTGCCCCCAGCACACTTGCGAATGGTAGCCACTGCACTCACCAGACAATCCCTCGCCAGTTTCTGAGGATGCCCGGGACACGTCCTGACTGCTGCTGGGCCGGGATGGTGAGGTCTGGCTGCTGTCCTCTGCCACCTCCACCTCCTCCTCCTCCTCCAGTGGCCTGGGTCAGACCACTGGGGTGGCCACCGCCGTGTTCACCTGGGCCAGCAGGGGAGTGGCCCCTTTGCCCCCCAGGATCTGGTGCAGACGGTGATACTGGGGACAGGCAGTGGCTCCGCCGCCCCCAAGCTCACCGGCCCTCATGTAGGTGAGGCGCAGGTCCTTCACCTTGGCCCAGACCTGTTCCAGGGTCCGAGCCGGGTGTCCTTTTGCGTCCAGTGCTTGGGCCAGCTGGGCAAAAATATGTGCATTTCTCCTACGGGACTTGGGGTCACAGAGGGCCTCCTCCTTTCCCCAGAGGTCCAGGAGAGCAGTCATCTCAGCGGTACTCCAGCATGGAGCCCACCACTTGGTGCCCCTTTGGGCCTGCTGGGTGCTCTGGGGTGGCTCCTCCATAGGGTCTGAGGGACCTGGCTGAGGCTGGGAAGCTGCCATTCCTCCCTCTGGATGCTACCTGGGCTGCACGTGGCAAATGGCTGTGCTCCGTGCCTGTGCCTTTAAGGGGGGGGCCAATTAGGGGGAACCAATGAGTGGTGATTGCCTGTACGGAGTGTTGGAGAGGCCACCTGTGTTTTTCACTGGAGGTCAATTCTTGCGCAAGTATGCGCTTGCCAAACGTCCACACTGCCCTCTTGCGCAAGAGCGCCTGTGCAAGAGAGCTTAAGCCTGATAGAAAACAGTGTAGCTCTTGCTCAAGGAGCCGTCTCTTATCACGCCGTACTGTACATTTACTTGCGCAAGAGCGGATGGGCAGTGTAGACGCTCTGTGGATTCTTGTGCAAGAATGGCCGTTCTTGTGCAAGAAGCCGTGAGTGTAGACATAGCCTAAGAGCGAGGGCCACCAAATTTGGTATTCAGCTTACTCTTCTCCTAACTTAAAACAAGGTCAGGAGAACTGGAAGCCCCAGGAAAAGCAATTTCCTATAACATGCTATGGGAGGGGCTGTTGTTCCAAGACAAGTGATATGGGAGTGGCCACTGTGGGGCAGTGCACTGACAGGGAAGAGCTATCCTACAGAGTATCCGTTGGGGGCAGCTGTACTACCAAGGGAGTGGACAGCAGGGCTGGGGCTCTGCTATCTTGTCTGCCAGCACCCCTGCACCAAACCCTTTTCCCCTCTTACAGCCCTTAGCCACAGTCCACACCTCCCAAACACAAACCCAGAGGCTGTAGGCCATGTAAGGAGCACTGGAGGCCAGGGTCAGCACTCCAGGCTTTGCCCCCCAGACAAGCTGCAGGACAGAGAAGGGCCACTGGACACCTGGACTCACTCAGAGCCTATCCCACCTGTAGACAGCAGTTACATTGCTCAAACTTGTAAAAAAACCCGCACCTCCGAGTGACGTTATTTACATCAACTTAACATAGTGTCTGTGTAATGGCCACCAGGCAGATTTGAACCTGGGACCTTTGAAGCAGAGTATAGGAGCCTCTTTCCTCTGAGCTAAAAGCCAGCTGGCTTCCAGCCCCTGCTGTAGAGGTCTCTTGGGCTGTGTCCAGACTCAGGGGTTTTTTCGGGAAAAGTAGCCATTTTCCCGAAAAAACTTCCCCTGCGTCCAGACTCAAGCCGCGTTCTTTCGAAATTATTTTGAAAGAACGCGGCTTTTCTTTCGATGGCGGTAAACCTCGTTTCACGAGGAAGAACGCCTTCTTTCGAAAGTTCCTCTTTCGAAAGAAGGCGTTCTTCAATGTAAATAGGGCTTCCTCGAAAGAGAGCATCCAGACTCGCTGGGTGCTCTCTTTCGAAAAAGCGGATTTCTCTTTCGAAAGATCCGCCTGCAGTCTAGACGCGATCTTTCGAAAGAGGCTCTTTCAAAAGATGCTTTCGAAAGAAGCCTGCAGTCTAGACATAGCCCTAGTGACAGATGATGTGGGGAAAGCTGAAGTACTCAATGCTTTCTTTGCCTCTTT